AAATATAAATGACCATATCTCCATATCAGTCCAGATTGAGTCAAACAAACAATTCAGTTAGGAATAGTAAATTTCATTGTAGAATTGTAAAGTTAACAAATAACTGGGGCTAAGTCTACAGCAGAGTATGGGAATCCAGGACCAATCAACCATTCATTCAGTTATATGGGAATTTATGGCATTGTGGGGAATGTAATCAAGGGGTTTCCCAGAAGTTCTTTTTTTTTTTTAAGATTTATTTTACTTATTTGAAAGTCAGAGTTGCAGAGAGGTAGAGCCAGAGGAAAGAGAGAGAGAGAAAGGTCTTCCATCTGCTGGTTCACTCCCCAAATGACTGCAACAGCCAGAGCTATGCTGATCCAAAGCCAGGAGACAGGTGCTTTTTCTGGGTTTCCCACGTGGGTACAGGAGCCCAAGGACTTGGGCCATTTTCTACTGCTTTCCCAGGCCATAGCAGAGAGCTGGATCAAAAGTGGAGCAGCCAGGATTCAAACTGGTGCCCATATGGGATGCCAGCACTGCAGGTGACAGCTTTACCCCCTACGCCACAGCACTGGCCCCTAAACATTAACTTTAGACACCAATAACCTATGATTGTTTGCACCAAGTTAGAGGAAATATCAACCAGAAATAGGTCTGATGTATGCAAATGAAAATCTAATTGTGGCATCACCATTTAGCTGTTTTACTTGTAGCTTTAGACACAGTACACTTTACAGTTTTTTCTTTCACTGATTTATTACTAAAGGTAAGCTTATTTTGATTTATATAGGCAAGTTGAGAGAACTCATAGCATTTGCAATGGTTGATTTGCCGTGGGAGGAACTGACTTCTGAACAGCAGAATATCAGAATGAAATTTTCCATTCAGTTAAAATATGGTCTGTTTTGATGTGAACCATTCCCTTGTTAAGAAGCATTAACAATTAAGAATTGTACCCCTCACCCAGTTGGCCATGACTTGGAACTGGAAGGTCCCATAGGCATGGTGGAATGTGAAAGAAGAAGGATCCTAAATCTGCGCAGAAGGCTAACCTGATGTCACCCAAGTTTTCATGAATAGAGTAGCTCTAATTTAAAAAGACAACACAGTTCAACTCTGATAACAGCTGTTTAAGATGAACTTTAAAAAAACAAGATGTGAGGAATCTCCAGACTGACTTCCATAGTGGCTTAACCAGTTTGCATTCCCACCAACAGTGGGTTAGTGTCCCTTTTTCCCCACATCCTCTCCAGCATCTGTTGTGGGTAGATTTCTGTATGTGAGCCATTCTAACCGGGGTGAGGTGAAACCTCATTGTGGTTTTGATTTGCATTTCCCTGATTGCTAGTGTCCTGAACATTTTTTCATGTGTCTGTTGGCCATTTGGATTTCCTCTTTTGAAAAATGTCTATTTAGGTCCTTGGCCCATGTCTTGAGTGGGTTGTTTGTTTTGTTGTTGTGGAGTTTGTTGATCTCTTTGTAGATTCTGGTTATTAATCCTTTATCTGTTGCATAGTTTGCAAGTATTTTTCCCATTCTATTGGTTTCCTCTTCACTTTCCTGACTGTTTCTTTTGCCGTACAGAAACTTCTCAATTTGATGCAATCCCAAATGTTAATTTTGGCTTTGACTGCCTGTGCTTCCAGGGTCTTTTCCAAGAAGTCTTTGCTAGTACCTATATCTTGCAGGGTTTCTCCAATGTTCTCTAATAATTTGATGGTGTTGGATCGTAGATTTAGGTCTTTAATCCATGTTGAGTGGATTTTTGTGTAAGTTGTAAGTTAGGGGTCTTGCTTCATGATTCTGCACGTGGAAATCCAGTTTTCCCAGCACCATTTATTGAATAGACTGTCCTTACTCCAGGGATTGGTTTTGGATCCTTGATCAAATATAAGTTGGCTGTATATGTTTGGATTGATTTCTGGTGTTTCTGTTCTATTCCATTGGTCTATCCATCTGTTTCTGTACCAGTACCATGCTGTTTTGATTGCAACTGCCCTGTAGTATGTCCTGAAATCTGGTATTATGATGCCTCTGGCTTTGTTTTTGTTGTACAAGATTGCTTTAGCTATTCAAGGTCTCCTGTGTCTCCATATCAATTTCAGCATCATTTTTTCCAGATCTGAGAAGAATGTCTTTGGTATTTTGATTGGTATCACATTGAATCTATAAATTGCTTTTTGGAGAATGGACATTTTGATGATATTGATTCTTTCAATCCATGAGCATGGAAGATTTTTCCATTTTTTGGTATCCTCTTCTATTTCTTTCTTTAAGATTTTGTAATTCTCATCGTAGAGATCTTTAATGTCCTTGGTTAAGTTTATTCCAAGGTATTTGATTGTTTTTGTAGCTATTGTGAATGGGATTGATCTTAGAAGTTCTTTCTCAGCCGTGGCATTGCCTGTGTATATAAAGGCTGTTGATTTTTGTGCATTGATTTTTATATCCTGCTACTTTGCCAAACTCTTCTATGAGTTCCAATAGTCTCTTAGTAGAGTAGATTCCTCAGAAACCTGAATATAACCCTACCATACAACCCAGTCATTCCACTCCTTGGAATTTACCCAAAGGAAATTAAATTGGCAAACAAAAAAGCTGTCTGCACCTTAATGTTTATTGCAGCTCAATTCACAATAGCTAAGACCTGGAATCAACCCAAATGCCCATCAACAGTAGACTGGATAAACAAATTATGGGACATGTACTCTATAGAATACTATACAGCAGTCAAAAACAATGAAATCTGGTCATTTGCAACAAAATGGAGGAATCTGGAACACATCATGCTGAGTGAAATAAGCCAGTCCCAGAGGGACTAATATCATATGTTCTACCTGATTGGTGCAACTAACTGAGCACCAAAAAGGAAACCCATTAAAGTAGAATGGACACTATGAGAAACACTGACTTGATCGGCCCTTGTTCTGACTGTTGATGTACAACTTAATACTTTATCCCTTTTAGTATTTTTTTTGTTCTACTTAATACTATTGGTTGAACTCTGTAATTAACACACAATTATTCTTAGGTGTTTAAATTAACTAAAAAGTGATCTCTGTTAAATATAAGAGTGGGAATAAGAGAGGAAGGAGATGTAAAATGTGGGACATGCTCAAGCTGACTTGCCTCAAATGGTAGAGTTAGAAATGTGCCAGGGGATTCCAATACAATCCCATCAAGGTGGCATGTACCAATGCCATCTCACTAGTCCAAGTGATCAATTTCAGTTCACAATTGATAGTACTAATAGGTCTAAGAGTCAAAAGGATCACATAAACAAGACTAGTGTCTGCTAATACTAACTGATAGAATAAAAAAGGGAGAGAATGATCCAACATGGGAAGCGAGATACACAGCAGACTCATAGAATGGCAGATGTCCTAAACAGCACTCTCGCCTCAGAATCAGCCCATAAGGCACTCGGATCTGGCTGAAGAACCCATGAGAGTATTTTAGGCATGGAAAGCCAAGACACTCTGTCAAAACAAACAAACAAACAAACAACCCTAAATGAAAGATGACTATGACCTTGTCTAAATAAGATCGAAGTTGGCGAACTCAGAAGGCTTCCATAGCCTTGGCAACTCATGACAAGAGCCTAGGGGGATTACTGGTGCCATAAACAAGAGTGTCAATTTGTTAAGTCAACAACAGGAGTCACTGTGCACTTACTCCTCATGTAGGATCTCTGTCCTTAATGTGCTGTACATTGTGATTTAATGCTATAACTAGTACTCAAACAGTATTTTACACTTTATGTTCTGTGTGGATGCAAACTGTTGAAATCTTTACTTAGTATATACTGAATTGATCTTCTATATATAAAGATAATTGAAAATGAATCTTGATGTGAATGGAAGGGGAGAGGGAGCGGGAGTTGGGAGGGTTGTGGGTGGGAGGGAAATTATGGGGGGGAAAAGCCATTGTAATCCATAAGCTGTACTTTGGAAATTTATATTTACTAAATAAAAGTTAGAAAAGAAAATAAACAAGATGTGGAGCATTTGCAATAGAAAACACTTTGCTGTTGGAGCACTAAAGGACCATTTGAACAATGGTCTCCTTTTGTTTTGAGAAAAGGAATAGATATTATATAATAGATCTATGTATATAAAATAGATATAAAGAGAAAAAGTCCTTTTGGGTTGGTATATGGAGACAATAGTCTGAAGATTTATTTTCTTTAATAGTAATTTTCTGGTCTCTTGTATTTCATGATTAAATAAATGTTTTAGAAGCTATTCTGCTAATAATTGAATTTAAGAGTTTCTCCAGTTTCATATAGAGTAGCTATGCACAAGGAGAACTGGACGTGGAATGTTAGTTTCATGAATTTCCTTACACCTCTGACATTTTGTGTACAAATAGAGAGAATAGGATGTTGAGGGTTTTCTTTTAGAGGACCCTGGAGGAACTCTGCTCAGAGGAAAAGCGTTCGTGTATTAATAGGTTATGTCAGTTCTTTTTTCTGCCATGTTATGAACTAGAAACTTGAATGTCCCAGCTTTTAAAAAAATGGAAACTTGAATGTTTTGATCGTTAGTCCCTTGAGTCCTGTACTTGTTTGGAGTTTTATTTTCCCATCCCTGATGCAGCCTGAACTTCTTTGTCTGCAATTTAATCTCTATTGCTTTAATCATTTTGGATTGTACCGATGACTTCTCAGTAATAAAAGAAATGGGGAGCCAGGCTTGGCATGGGACAAGCTCTTCAGCTGCAATAAGACATTATATATGAGTTGTCTACCCACAAAAAGGGCCCACTGTCAGATTAAATTAATGAGCTGCATGTTTTAATCATTAAGGTAATGGCAATATGTGGATTCTTTGCCTCTGTTTTAATCATTTGTATGTTTTTACCAGCTAGATCATCAAATGCTTTCTTTTAAGATGTCTTCCCATTTCATCGCAGAGAATAGCTTCTATGTGGGGCAGAAATAAATGCTGTAGAGTCCTAAGAACACGAAATACCTTCAGGGTTTAGTGAAATTTATAGCTAAGTCTTTGTCCTTCCAGGCAGGAATTTGGAGGGGCAGATCTGTGGCCACTATTAGCAAATGGAACCAGCATGAGTTCCAACTTGGAAAGAGTCAACATGGAATAAGTGAACGGTAAGCCTGAAGTGGAAATGGGTTATTTTGTGGACCATGGGCAGTGTTCAATCAGGTGAGTTGATAGAGATACTGCTGACTAAGGCAGCAGGGGCTCTGTTCACTCTGCTTCTGCTGGGAATTGCTTTCTGCAAACTTTCAACTCACAGGCTGCTTCCTGCATGGCAAACATGGGTCATAGGACTTGCTCTTCTCAGGAGACTCTATGGTGAGCAGATCAGGGCATGTCTCCTACATCTAATTTTTCTAATAAAGCCACACTTATAACATGTAGATGGGTAAGTTTTAGCATTATTTGCTTTTCTCCTCAGGTACTTAGGGGATGCCCATGTGACACCTAGAGCATAGGTTCAAAAATAGAAAAATCCAATTTACTAGTTATATCTTTGGGACAGTACCAGGCACAGGGCACATCTGAATTTTTACTGAATTTGCTAAATCAATACAATGACTTTATGAACTCCACAGTAATACTTCCCAGTATGTTATTACGGTATTTGTTCAGAGCTGAAACCTAACTCTTCCTCTAGGTGTTTGATTGCATGATATCACTCAACTCTGAGCTCCTGTAGGGGACGGCCAGTCACGTATTAATGCATGTGATCTTCAGACACAGCTGATGTTCCCTAGAAGATTGTAGAACAGAATTGATGGTACAGGGATCCACAGACTTTCTGCTTTCCTTTCTGGAAACTGGGGTTTGGTGGGGGGGACCAAGGAATATGATTAAATTACAGATGAGAAAGGGCCTCAGAGATCACCTAGCTCAACATTTTCAAAGTAAGATCTAAAGAGGTCAGTCATGTGTCAAAGTCACATAGTTGGTGACAGAGCCAGACATAGATGCCATAGAAACTAGCGTTTATCAGAAGCTTCTAGAAGACTGGGCATCATGCAAGACCGGCACTGTTCTGTACATATCTGTTGAGCCTCATGAGGCCAACAGCACTTGAAATGTGTCAGAGGAGACTGAGAAACAGAACCTTAGAGTTTGCTTCATTTTCATTTAAAATCCAAATCCTTTTTCATTCATGACAACTTTATTGCTTTGTTAATGATCGCAGTGATCATTAAAAATTTAGTGGCTGAACCAACCAGTGCTATCCAAGTTAAAATACACACTGGATTTCAAAGATTAGATGAACAAAATCTTATTAATTTTTATGCTGATTTTATGCTAAATTATAATATTTTGGGTAGATTAAGTTGAGTAAAATATGGTGTTAAAATTATACTCACCTGTTTCTTTTTACTAATTTTTATCATGGCTACTTGAAAATTTCAAATGACATACATGGCTTGTGTTTTATTTCTATTGGGCAATGTGGTTCTGGACTCTCGACAGGTAGTATTTTCATTTAATCCTCACAACAACCATCTCCATTTTTCTCCAGTTCATGGATGAGGAAACTACGACTGAGAGGGGCTAAAGTATTTGCAGACTCAACATGACATCAGGCTGTTTGGCTTGGAAGCCCTTATTCTTTCCAGAAACACTTCTCCCCAGCTTCTTTGCACCAGCCAGACAGCACCCAGATACACTGTACTTAAGCTGAATTACAGATTCTAACGCAGTGATTCACTACAGGAAAGGGGAGAATTCCTTTGACAAATTTAAGGTGGCTGACTTTAATGTTTGGGGGTTCTGTTTCATGGTTGTCTCCTTCAAAAAATTCTGAAAACAAGAAGTATATAGTTAATTTATTGAGAGAGAGAAAGAGAGAGAGAGAGAGAGAGAGAAAATCTTCCACCTGCTGGATCACTCCCCAAATGCCTGCAACAGCCAGGGCTGGGCAAGGTTGAAACCAGGAGCCAGAAACTCAACCAGGTCTCCCTGGGTGACAGGGACCCCACCACTTGTGCTATCACCTGCTGCCTCCCAGGATGCACATTAGCAGGTAGCTGGACTCGAGAGCGAAGCCAGAACTTGAACCCAGGCACTCTGATATGATACAGGAGCCTCCATGTGGGTTTCTAACCACTGTGCCAATGCCAGCCTTAAGGAAAAATTTTTTTTGCTTCAATTTTCAATGCTTTTTTTTTTTTAAAGTTTCTAGCCAACAATTGTGTTTGATGATATGCAAAGTTAGTTTGTCCTTTTCTATTGATTCACATTTTTTTAAAGGTTTATTATTTATTTGAAAGGCAGAGAGGAAGAGAGAGAGAGAGAGAGAGAGAGAGAGAGAGAGAGAGAGAGAGATCTTCCATCTGCTGGTTCACTCCCCAGATGGCCACAACTGCTGGAGCTGAGTCACTCTGAAGCCAGGAGCCAGGAGCTTCTTCCGGGTCTCCCATGTGGATGCAGGGGCCCAAGGACTTGGACCATCTTCACTGCTTTCCCAGGCCATAGCAGAGAGCTGGATCAGAGGTGGAGCAGCCGGGACTCTATCTGGCACCCATATGGGATGCCGGCACTGCATGGCTGGGGCTTTACTCACTATGCCATAGTGTCAGCCCCTGATTCACTATTTTTCTATGAGAAATGACGTTACTTATTTTGCAACTAAGTTATTTGGAAAACATTAAAATATTAATGTATTTTGTAATTGTAATTTTGTAATTGTATTTTAATATTGCTCTGTCTTTATTTCTAATATAGGACTGCTTTTCGCCTAGGCAAGAAAAACAAAACACAGTCTGGCAGCTCCTCTGTGTAAAGTATATTTCCCACCCAGGCAGCCTCAGGATGATATCTTCTTGCTGCTATTTGAGACATGGAAATTCTACCACAATTTTGTTCTGAATTCTAACATTGGCCAGATACAAATACCTAACGATGTGGCAAAAAAGTTCAGGACACATGAACCCATAAACACTGCTTTTGATGAAAGGGTAGTCGGATTTCTCAGTGCCCAAATTCACTGAAATCTGTATTTGAACAAGAGCCTCTGTTCTCTCCAGCTGTAAAAGGAGTTGGTATAATGTCACTGCAATCGAGTTTATTGTCAATAGAGGGCACCAAAGCATGAAAAAGTAATTATCGATGGTTTTGGCTTATTTCTTCAGCTCAATTAGTATTTAAAAAAATGAAAAAAGAAAATCTTTGAAAGCATGTGCCAGCCTAGTAGTTAAGAGTTAAAATGCCCCATGTCCCATATTGGAGGACCTGGGTTCAATTCCTGGCTCCAGCTCCTAACACTCCTTCCGCTAATGCAGACACAGGGAGACAGTAGTGATGGCTCAAATAATTGGGTTCCTGCCACTCATGTGGGAGACCTGGGTTAAATTTCCTGCTTCTGGTTTTGGCTTTTGGTTCAGACCCAGCTGTTGCAGGCATTTGGGGAGTAAATCAGCAGATGAGGGTTTTCTCTTTGTCTCTTAAAATAAATAAATAAATATAAATAAATAACTTTAAAAACCTTTAAAAAGTCATCTTTTCATCTTGAAAATGGAGGATTCAGTACTTTTGTCCATATGTGTCCTTTCTGCCCATTCAGGCCACAGCTAAGCCAGAGCTCAGCCTGAAGCCAGTGTTTGGTGCATGGGTGGTCTCAGAACTCCAGGAGAAAAAAATGATTCCTACTTTCTGCTTCCTACTCCTCCACCAGCCTCCCCACCCCCTCCCCCAGACTCCCGCAGGACATGACCCATGCTTCTCCAGTTAGAATCCTCTCCAGCAGCTTCATTTTCACAGGACTTTCATGTGGTTAGCAAGAATCTGTTTTTGTTGTTGTGCTGTTTTTTTTTTTTTTTTTTTTTTTTTTTTTTTTTTTTTTTGGATTTGTTTCATTTATTTGAAAAACAGAGTTACAGAGAGAGAGAGAGAGAGAGGTTTTCCATCTGCTGGTTCACTCCCCAAATGGCCGCAATGGCTGGAGCTGAGCCGATCCAAAGCCAGGAACCAGCAGCTTCTTCCAGGTCTCCCATGCGGGTGCAGGGGCCCAAGGACTTGGGCTATCTTCTACTGCTTTCCCAGGCCATAGCGGAGTGATGGATTGAAACTGGAGCCGCTGGGACTCGAATCAGTGCCCATACGGGATGCCGGCACTACAGGCTGGGGCTTTAACCCTCTGTGCCACAGTGCGGGCCTGTTTTCTGGGTTTTGTTTGTTTGTTTTTTGATTCTAGTTCCTGTCAAGGGGCAAGGCACAGCGTCAGTTTCTGGGGACACCACATATTAAAACAGACCTGCTGAATGCAGCCTGCCATCTAGCAGCCAGCGGAGATAGTCATCCCGCATCCCACAGACATACAGCAGAAAGTCATCTTACAAAAAGCAGTGTTTGAGCTGAGATCAGAATAGGTGTTAACTAGGATAGCAGGGAGACTGCAGGGAAAAGATTCCAGGTACCAGGTCGCCAAGGCGGGTGAGCCTGGGAAATGACAGAGCAGCTAAGGCTGGGCTGGAGGCCAAGTGATATCATCCAGCAACCCTGGGGTCACGGCACAGAGTCTGGACTTGGTGGGATGTGCAAGGCAAAGCCCTTCATCCATGGGTGATGGGATTAGATTTACTGTTTTGAAAAGATCTCTCCAGCTGCTTTATGGAGAGTGGCAGATCATAAGGAGGCTGCTGCAGCAGCTCAGAGGGGAAACCGTGATGACCTGGGCCAGGGTGGAGATGGTGGATTGGAGAGACAGGACCAAGGAATGAGCAGGACTCCACTGTGAATCAAACACGGTGGTGAGGGAAAGAACTGCACTAAGGGTGATTTCTAGGTTTCCAGCGTGCAAAGGGCTCACAAGCTTGGGAGTTTCAAAGTTAGAGAATACAGTTTGGGAAGTGTTGAGAGAAATCAGGGACTTAAACACCAGATGGTAACTTGTTGGGCAACCTTAGGCCCAGCTGTTGGTCTTTACACCAAATCTCTGAACTACCCTGTAGTGAGTGAACATTTCCAGAAGAGCTGGGAATGAGCAGCAACGTTGCAGCATGGTGTCTATATCCAAGGCCAGTATCAATGTACACAAATGCAGAATGCAAAGAAAAAGTTCTGGAATATAATTAAATCACTAACTGTCATGTTTCAGGGCTGAGATGAGAGGGAACGCCAATTTGAAGTCCAGATGTTACTGTGTTGTTTGAAATTTTTTAAAGTAAGCCTTAATTGGTCTTCTCATTAGCAAAACTCATAAAATCACTGTCATTTCCAATAACAAGCTTTCGCCTGGGAAATGGGAAGCCCTTTGTGGAGTCCCAGTAATCTCCCACCTCCATTCAGTCTCTCTACTGGAATTTAGAGAGCCTTTCCATTTGGGAACCTTGTAGCCCCGGAGAGCATAGATTTCTCTCACTGCAGCTCATTAGAGATCCTCAGAAAATCAACTTGAGGACCGGCTACAGAAGCCCTCCCAGCACCCTTTGATCTTTGCAGCAGCAAATGTGTCATTTGTAGCACGAGGGTCCAGTTCTTCTGTGAGGCTAAAATAGAGCCACTCCAAGACACTTTGGAGGCTCCCTGAACTCCTACTAACTACCCATCTTTGTCCCAATTGATGTAGCAGTTCTGCCATATCCCCCAGGATGTCATTTCCACTTGCTTGGTAAATAATTAGCCTGCTGCCTTTGGCTATAGAAAGGATTATAAATATTTCAAACACTGCAAGTGATTGAAACAGTCTCTATTCGAATTCATCTATGCCTGTGATGCTTTGCGTGAAAATTTGCCTCTAAGAGGGAAAAAATCTTTGAGAAGATGAACAAGCAGAGTAAGGTGGGGTGTAGGCTGCTGAGGTCATTGGACACTCGGAATCAGGCTATCAGGAGCCAGCAGTTTGAACCTTCCAATTTTAGCTCACACCTGTCAATCTTTCTGATCTCCAGAGAAATAAAAGATCCCACTTCTTAAGAGCACTTTTAGTCTTGCAAGGATTATTTTTAAATAAACTTATTTTTCAGAGCAGTCTTAGGTTCACAGCAGAACTGAGTCCCCACACACCCATGGCCTCCCCCCACTATTGATATCCCATACCAGAATGGTACCTTTGTTACTACTGTCAGTGAAGCTACATTGACACATCGGTATCACCCAGAGTCCCTAGTTCACATCAAGGCTCTCTCTGGGCCCTGTGTATTGTGTATGTTTTGAAAAATGCAAATGGCATGTGTCTATCACTGTAGAGCACACATTCCTCTCTCCCCAAGACTTCTGGCAACCACTGGTCTTTTTACTGTCTCTCTAGTTTTGCCTCTTCCAGAATGCCTTAGAGTTGGAATCCTTATAGGAATTTTAAAAATATTCCTCTCAAGTAAGTTATAAGAACTTACAAGTTCTCATTTATATAATCGGTGATACTCTTTACAGTATGTTCTTGTGGTTGCCATGAAAACCCATGGCTGCACTTAGACCCTGTCTGCATCTGACCAGCACTTCATGGACAGTTAGGTGAGATCCACTGCCCTACACGAGGCAGGCAGCCAGCAGGAGACTGATCTGTTGGGGTCGGGGGAGTCACACAGAGCCCTGCCGAGTGTTCTCTGCTCTTCCAATGTAACTTCTTCATTTTTTTTTTTTTTAAGATGTACTTGAAAGAGTTACAGAGAGGCAGAAGCAGAAAGAGAGAGAGATCTTCCATCCGCTGGTTCATTCCCCAAATGGCCACAATGGCCAGAGCTGGGCCGATCTGAAGCCAGGAGCCAGGAGCTTCTTCTGGGTCTCCCACAGGGGTGCAGGGGCCCAAGCACTTGGACCATCTTCTACTGCTATCCCAGGCCACAGCAGAGAGCTGGATCAGAAGAGCAGCAGCCAGGACCAGAATTGACACCCATAGGGGATGCCAGCACTGCAGGTGGAGACTTAGCCCACTATGCCACACTGTGTGTCCCCCCCCCCACTATTTTTTGTGGTACAAAAATTTTGAAATCCACCCATGTGCAGGGTATTCAAAAAGTTCATGGAAAATGCACATTAAAAAGACTATATATGGATATTGATTCAGAGGATAACAGTACCATGTTTCCAAAGTAAACATTGTCTATGCTTTTTTAAAATAAATTTTATTTATTTTTATTTTTTATTTGAAAAAAGATGAGAGCGAGCGGGGAATTGATCTTCAATCTACTGGTTCACTCCTTAAATGACCACAACAGTGAGGGCAGGGCCAGGATGAAAGCAGGGCCCCAAAACTCAATCTGATTCTACCATATGGGTAACAGGAACCCAAGTACCAAAGCCATCCTCTGCTCCCTCCCAGGGTGCACATTAGCGGGACTTGATCCAGGCACTCCAATATGGTATGAGAGCTTCCAAGCAGTGACTTGACCACTGTGCCAAATGCATACCCTTGTCCTTGCTCTATTGTCCTGAGATAACCATTGTTAAGTTTAACATTTTGTGTGTATCTTTACATTCTATAAATGGGTTCATGTGGGGAGCAACTAGGAGCAACTCGGACTAGACTAAGTTACTGGAATTAAGACTTATTCTATGCATCTGCTCTCCCACAATATGGCGCTGAGAAGGGAGAAACAGCT